AGAAACCCCCCCTAAGGTTCTGACAGTTGCAGAGACCTCCCCTCAAGTTTATTAAATTATGCCTACCTCCCTTGCTTTTACTATTTATATAACAATATAGGTCCAAAAGACTATTTTTGTCTCAAAAATCCTAAACTACCCTTTTTGTACAAAAATAAAATAAAAATTATTTGCCAATTGTTTTCTTCTATATTTCAACAAAACCCACTATACTAACAAACTAATCTAGCAAATAGTCTAATTCCAAATTCTAAACCCAAGCAATTCCATTATCATAGGAATGGATGGGATTAATCAAGTTTAAGAGAAGGAAATACATAATTATAACTATAAAGATCTTCAAGAAATTCATTTTGCCAAAACAACTAAAATTTTATTTACAACTAAGCACAACCCAAACTTCAAACCCAATGCCCACATCTTCTCAAAAAAAAAAAAAATCTAACATACTATCAAATCTGCAAACATGTTAACGTCTTAAATACAAAGGAGAAACTCCATCTCCATAACGAAACCACAACCAACAATTGTCAAGCATAAAAAAATATAAATATATTTATTAACATCTTAAAAAGTTTTTTGAATGGATGATAGATAAATTAGCAAATTTATCAATTTCAGTCCCTCTTCCTCTTTTGGGCAATGATTGCATTATTTGTTCCATTATTATTGTGTGTCTCTTCATCTCTTTTTAGTTTGACCATGAAATTGAATTTTACTTCAACCATCAAATCTAATCCCTTAACTAAATTTGTGATTTGGCAATTCTAAAGAGAAGAAAGGAGGAAAAGAAATATATAGTAGAGTTTGAGGGGGATCACTTGTGGTGTGATTGGTTGCAGCTATAGACAATGGTTGGTCGGTGGTAATTTGAGAGCGAGTTATAGAATGAAGGGGTTGATGGATAAGAACGAAGTGACAGTAAGTAAGAGGGAATCGTCGTTAATTGTAACTTGTAAACAGGATAGTCGAAAGATTATGTTTCTTTTTCTTTTTTTAATCTCATTTCATTAAATTGTGAATTATTTATTAAGTGAAGGTCATTGTAGTCATTTTATTGTGATAAGGGAGGTAAGTGTAATTTGTAAAATTTGAGGGGAATTGACTAAAATTATTATAAACCTCGGGAGAGGTTTGTGAAATTATCCCTTTGTTTAAAGAATGAAAATTAAAAAAAAATAATAGAGAACTCGTCCGTGCATAATTTAAACGCGAACTCGGCCTTTATATAAACAAAACATGATGATAAAAGATGGTGCTTTCTTGCCTTGGACGATTTAATTGAGATTTTATCACTTTCCGGACACATTTGGCAAAATTAGTGCATGAAAACTAGGGATGGACTCAGGCTCGATCAATATCGAGCTCGAACTGGTTGAGCCAGAGTCGAGCTCGAGTTCGAGCTCAAAACATTGAACCCGACTCGCAAGTTCGAGTATATATATATATATATATATTTATTTATTTATTTATTTTTATTTTTAGTAGTAAAATTACATAAATATTCTTAATATTTTATTATTTATTAAGAAAAAAATATTATTTTATTTATTTTTTAAAAAATAAAATAATTATTTTTTATTTTTTCAAGCTCGAACTTGAAAATTACTAACTTGTCGAGCTCGAACTCGAATTCGAGTTCGATGAAATTAAGTCAAGCCTCGACTCGATAAGGCCAAAGTTCGACTCGACTCAACTCGTTTGTAGCCCTAGTGAAAACTGAAACGCAATCGGTCCTGCCTTGGTTTCCTTCTACTGTTATTATGTTGCAAGACAAGTGCCTTTTGTTTTTTTTTGCAAGAGGTATCTTCTATCAATATCACCTTCCTCACGCAGCCGTTCTTAACTTTGCGGTGCAGAAGACAAAATTACAAGTTGTATACAATTGGCATTCCTTTTTGCTATGCTTATTGAACCCTTTATCTTTTTCTTTTCTTTCATTTCTTTATTGAGCTCTTACATTACATGCAAAGTACGTAATCTCTCTCTCTCTCTCTCTTTTCTTTTCATTTCGGAGGAATCTGCTTTGGTCTTATTGTGTTCGTGGGTTTGGTCGGATGGATAAGGGGGTACGCTGTTGGGGCACATGGCCATGGAGGGCTGTGTGAGTACTTTTGCATACAGATGCAGAGTCTTCAATCCTGAGAACTTGGCCCGTTTTGAAACGTGGCTGCTCTGGACACTTTCATGTACTAGTATTACTTTTTTTTTTTTTGAATTCCCTTTGAAGTTTCTTCAGGCAATCTGCTTGCTTCAGTCGATATATAACTGATGGAAGGTTTTTGTAAACAAATATTGATTGTTAAATCTAGTGAAAATTACGAGAATTTCATGAGATGATAGGCTCCTGAAATTACTAGTAAATTAGATTGAGGGAGGATTGAAAAGTTAAAGAGGAAGAAGAAGTGAGATCAATTCTTAATCACGCCTTATTAACATACCTATATTTATATCTGTATTATATACATGTATTTATACCTATATTATCATACTTATATTTATACCTATACTATATATAGAGAGAGCGAGATAAAGGGTTTGGTGTAAATATTTTGTTGTCATTTTGTGTGTTTTTATTTTTTTTCCCTGTAGAGACCGATTTTACTTTAACTATCTAAATACATGGCGTCAAAATTACTGTCTATGAGCGTCAAATTTAACTATTTAAGCATGTTTCTTCTAAACAATATTAATTACCAACATAACGATCATTTTGCAAAACCAATTTAAAAATTTGTGAGATAATCATCACTTGTATATACATACAGTCCGCATGCGAGATTAATCATTTTTCTTGTGAGATATTTTACGGCTATACGGCTGCTTTTGACAGAAGAGAAGCAAAGAATAACATCGGGACCGGATCAATCAAATCTTGGGGAATTAATTGTCGTGTGCTTTTGACACTGGGAGTACACGGGAAAGGGGAGACTCTGGTGAGTTATTTCTTGATTGCTGTAAGCAGCACGTGCTTTAGGAAAGGACTAGAAAGCCTGGAATTATATGCGGATTCCTGAAGATTGTGATAAATTCTGCATTTCCTTTTGCGCGATGTACCTTCATTGCGCATCCTCCTGTGGTTGCTTGTCAGATCAACATGGAACCTACCTTGCCTTACTGATGAATGCGCTGTAAATGAGCCTAGCTGAACTTGATTTAGTTAGGTTCGAAGTCAAAGTTCAAATTCGACAAGCTTTTATTCTAAAATTTAGTCTCGAGCTTGAATATAAGTTTGAACGTAGTCGAGCTTGGATGTGAATCTATTTAAGCTTAAACAAAAATTTTAAAAATTCATTTTTTAAGTAGATAAAATAAATACTTGCCCTAATAAATAATAAAAATATAGGAGACATACATGTAATTTTATAACACTTAAAATATAAAATATTGAGTTCGATTTGACCTGATTGTTAATAACTATATGTATATTTAAGCTCGACTCACCTGACTCTCTAAGTCAACTCGAGATTGAATCTAGTTTTGATCGAACCGATTCACGAATGCTTACAATTTGGCTCGACTCGTTTGCTGACATATTATAATATGATGATCACAAGCATGTAACTCATCTTGCTGATCCACGAGGAGGCAATCTTTGTTTCGTGCTCCACACATGCACGGGGGATTCCAAGAGAGATCTGACATTCGTCACGTTTAAGGTTTCAAAATTAGGTGAAGATGGAGCCGTGGAAGCACTTTCAGATTCTATGTTTTAGCGACGTGAGGATGTGAGGACATTGACTTGGTCCATCACATTTATTCCTATTTTCTTCAACTTGTGCGGACCTGTCCAGCTTGCTGCACTGCAGTACCAATGGCATAGAGAGTTCTTTATGCCAAAATTGTCTTCTTCCTCTCATCCGCCTGGAAGTTTCTCTTCGTCATTTATACCTCAGTATCTAAAGCATATGGGGCTGAAGATTTCAAAATCTTGAAGCATTCATCTTATGTCAACCCTGCAAGTCAATGTAAAGCTTGAGACACTTGATTTTGAGCTGTAAGAAGTGACTACCAGACTTAAATAGTTTTACCGCCATTGATCTCTTTTATTATCATTGTGGTACGAGCTTTGAATTTCAGCTCTGATGCTAGAAGATACAAAAACGGATAGACAGCATTTTGCCATTTATTTCCTTTTTCTTTTCTTTCTTCATTTCTATCCAATCAGCCTCCTATTCAACCCAGTCTCCTGCACCCAAAAAAAAGAGAGTAATATTAATGAAAATATAGAAAATAAAGTAGGATAACTAAGACTGAAAATGACTTTAGTAGCAAGCAATATAACGTTTAGTTGTAAAGAAAATGTAATGCAGGGAGTGAACGTTATGCCATGTTGCAAATGGAGCTGTGTTTAGGGGGCATATGAGGTATTAGCATTACAATCTGAAGCGGTTCCCATTCTAAACCTTCAGGAATTACGCAGATGGAATACAACTAATTCGTATTATAAGAGCTACCATTGAACTGAAGTGACTGAAGTTGATCGACTCCAAGATATGTTTCAATATGCTTTGTTTGGTGATGGTTCAGTTATATGTTTGGACTTGGATTGCATGCATGAAGAAAAAAATACATAAACACCGCTACCATTGCGTATCAAAATTTATTAATCAACTGTAGACGACAGAAGAAAAAAATATATACGTTTTAAGGACTTTTGCAAGACAGACGTTGCGTCACAAACTCAGTTACAAGAATTTAGATGAATCTGAACAAAAGATATCAAAGAATACAGAGCCCAAAAAGATATCCATTAGGATTAAAGCCTAAACAATAGAAAAGTGTGAATCATAAGACACCTGCCTGCTCCCTTTAAGGTGTACAATAGAAAAGTTTCTTTTGTTACTTTTTTGGTGATAGGACTTCCTTGTTCTGATTAAATTTGCTCCACGCGAGCGAAAAATATTACTTTCTTGTGTTGTAGCTTTAAACCATGAAGCGCCCTGCAGAAGTAGATCATGGAGTACTTGAATTCCTGCCCCCCACCAAAAACAAAAACAAAACAGAAAAAAAAAATGGAGTACTTGACTGAAGAGAGATTAATAAGTCAATTCCTACAGGTCAAGCACAACGCTAGTGCATTTCATCACATTGAAGGATGGGAAAATTGATTTCCAAGTATGGTTAACTTTCCTGCTATTGGCTTTAGGATTACCTAATTGAATGTACTTTTTTCTGTACAAAGCTGTATTCTCTAGCTCTAGATGAGTGCCTGTACAGGCAATTCACAAGGAAAAGCAGAACTTTAGACATCCAAGTCCCTGGTCGATCCTCAAAGAAGTCGTTCGAATGAGACCTGATGATGGGAGGGCTTTGGCAGCAGATGTGCTGATGCCACTGAGACGCCTTGAAGCATTTTGATGACTTCAGAAGTATCATCAAGATAGTATTTTGCCATACTTGGTTTCTGGCCAACAGTGCAGGCAAACACTTCTGCTTTATCAGGCAAGGAATGTTTGGCAACCGAGCAAGCAACGCTCTCAAACATGTCTTCATCTGATCTATCATCCCCAATGCACAACACAAAATCTGGAGGCTTTCCTCTACCACTCATGGTTGCAATGAGTTTCTCAACGACGACACCTTTGCTTACGCCCTGCAATGTAAATATGTCAAATGACTTGGGAATCTATGAAACGGAAGCCCATCAGTTGGAGATTTTGTATCATAAGAGTCAAAAACTCAGGACCAGTGATCGCGCATAGCAACAAAGAATTGTGTTTAGTGCTATCATTTAAACAGCAAGAGATCGAATGCATCAATAAAGAATCGTGCCTTAGCCGTTAAATTGCCAAATAACTTGTTACTGATAGGAATTTGCTTAAAAGCTTATTGAGCCAACAAACGAGAGTAGAGAATCAAGGCATGGCCTGTACCTGTGGTTTCACCTCAACAATATGCTGGCCTCTTTTAACCACCACGGGATCATTTGCGAGCACGCCCTCCAAGTGATCAAGAAGCTCCTTTGCTTGCCATGTGCCAAAGTCTGGATCAGCTTCTTGGTGGTGCCACACGATGGCACTTTCCTTCTGCTCAATGGAAGAACCGTCAGTTGCTTCTGTGTAGTGCTCCATCACAGGTAATGCTATCTTCTTCCAGTCTAAGTCCAACGCTTCTATGCAAGACTCCCATGGGGAATCCTTTGTCCACCTATCAATAGCAAAAGAGAAACAAATAACAGAGGGATGAAGAATATATTGGCAAGTTGAAAAAAGAATCATAACCATTGGCAAATAAATTAGGGGAGTAGAACTTACCGAGTAAAGCAACCATGTTCCGCAGATAGACCAAGCTTCTGACATGGAGAGAACCATTTGCTCAGAGAATCTTTTCCTCTGCCACTCACAATGAACACAATATTTTTTGGATCACTGCACAAACTATTCAAGACTGCAATAACTTCATCACTAGGACTTTTATCCACTGTATCCTGAGGCATCACTGTACCATCATAATCCAGCAGTATAAGCCGACTTGAAGTCCTGTTATAAGCAGAGACAATATGCTCCACAGAAAGCTTCCGGAAATTAGGACCCAAAGCAACAACCCTGAAACCAAAACCAAAGCCAATGCCCCAACACCTCTTGAGATAATGCTCGGAACAGGCTCTTTCGAGGTCCTGATTGAAACTCCTAGCCCAATAAGCTACATCATGGGATTTGATGTACTTATAATGCTTTTCATGGCGCATTTCCTTCTCAGCATCTGGCATTGTAACTGCCAAATGCATTGCATCAGCCACACTGTCAATGTTCCAAGGATTAACCCGGATTGCGCCACTCAGAGATGGAGAACATCCAATGAATTCTGAGACAATGATTACGCTCTTTCTAGGTGCTGCAGATTCAAGCCCCAATGCCTTGTCCATATAGGAGCTACCCTGCCTAGACACTGTATAGTTATAAGGCACCAAATTCATACCATCCCTTACAGCATTCACCACAACACACTCAGACACAGCATAATATGCAACCTTATCCTGGGTTGAAACTGAGCCACTGACACAGACAATGGGCTCATATCCTGGCTCCCCGTACCGGTGGTTAATTTCACTAGCAACTCTACTGATCTCATTTTGAACCTCTTGGATATCATTGCCCTGACTCCTCGCAGGATTCATAATTTGAACCAAGACCACCTTTCCCCTATATCTAGGATGGTAATCTAACAACTGTCCCATAGCCATAAATTTCAAGCCAATACCCTTAAACATATCCATATCATCAACCCCTAACATCACAATTTTCCCCTCATATTTTTCCCTCAGCTCCTTAACCTTTTCGGCAGTGTCTGGCAGTGACAAGACAGACTCAAGCTGTCCCATATGGATACCAACAGGGAGGATTTTAATACTCACAGTTCTACCATAATAATCAAGCCCAATGTAGCCCCTTTTTGACTGATAATCCAATCCCAACATTCTACTACAACAAGACAAGAAATGCCTAGCATAATCAAATGTATGAAAACCAATAAGATCACAGTTCAACAAGGCCCTCAAAATCTCCTCCCTAACAGGCATTGTCCTAAAAATTTCAGAAGATGGGAAAGTATTATGCAAGAAAAATCCAAGCTTTAAACGATGAAACCTTTTCCTTAAAAAAGTCGGCAAAACCATGAGGTGATAATCATGTATCCACACATAATCCTCGTCGAGATTGATCACCTCCATCACTTTATCAGCAAAAATCTTATTTGCTGACACGTATGCCTGCCACATACTCCTATCAAACCTGACCCCATAACTAGATGTAACAGGCAACATATAGTGAAACAAAGGCCAAAGGTAATGCTTACAAAACCCATGATAAAACTTGTTCATTAAATCCACTGGTAAAAAAGTAGGCACACACCTAAACTTATCCAGCAGTAGTTGAGCGACTTCTTCTTGCTCCACCGGATCAACCGGCACGTTCAAACACCCGACATAAACAACTTCAACATCAGCAGGGAATCCATCCTTGAGTTGCAAAACCAAGGCATCTTTGTCCCAATCAAAGCACCACTTTTGTCCATTCTTACTTTCATCCCTATAAGCCTTGACTGGTAACTGGTTAGCCACAATGATCCTCCTTTCCTGATTCACCGATGAAACAGTTGTCTCAGACAACTCAGACTTTTGATCGTCAGCAACATTAACGCTGTCATCATCAAAATCTGATATAATCCCAGGAACAGTCATGACTCTTGGTAATCTAGTCCGATCAGCAGCACGTGAATAATCTTCAAGATTGAGAAGATTGAAACAAGATCTTGACAGCATAATGAGAAGCGAAAAGAAAAGAAAATCCCACAAACAAAATCTTGTTTTTCGGCCAAGAAACACTAGAACAAGGCTCAATCAAAGTATAGAAATAAAAGGGTTGGTGGCTATGCAATGAAAAAAAGAAAAAAAAAATTCTACTATCTTGCTGTTATATAGCTACGGAGGCTGAGGGGGGATTCTTCTCTATCGATGAGTATTGCAAACGAAAAGGATATGGTACTTCATGAATATATGAATGCAAGAGTTATTATACGGAATTTTCATCCAAGAGTTAAAAAGGAAGGTTTGGGAAAAATCTTCTCAGCTAAATAATATATGGTACAAGTGAAGAATATTGTGAAATATATATGTAACGAAGGAAAGAAGAAGTAATGAGAACTAAGGTGGTGGCAGAGGATAAGAACGAAGGAGGGCGGACCGACTTACCAATATCGGGGGGGAGTTGAGACGATACGTAATTGAGTTGTTTGGACGGCCAAGATTGACTTGTAGACGCCCTTCAACGTCATCATATTCATTTATCCATATCCCACAATTGTCTATCTTACCATAAATAATAAATACAATCGTACAAAGTAAAAAAGAAATTGTTAAAGAATATGGCAATAACTTACTATGCCTAGATTTTCCCTTTTTGTTCTTCTATCATTTACTTCCTCAACTTTAATAGTCTGATCTCACCTTCTCTCAATATATATATATAAATATATATATACTTTTATTTGATTTGATTAGATAGTGATATTTTTTTTTATTGCGGAGAAAAAAAAAAGAAAAAGAATATTCTTTCCGGATATCTTACTTTGAGGCACATTAATGACGTATTTATTGAAAATTTAATAAACTTAGGGGTGAAAATTACTAGCAAAAATTTGGATGGTGCAATGTTTTGGATGTTTGGTTTGGTACTTGTGTTGAGACTATGTGGGTAGAAACAGGCAAATACGTGGCCTTAATGTGACATGTAGGAGCAACAAGGCGCGTTAGGTACTAGGTTCTTGAGGCATTTTCTGAGATTTTTAATTTAATTTGTGAAGTTTGAGGTTTTGTTGTTGGAGAATTACCGGCTATAGCCGGTTGGTTGAAAGGATAAGAATGGGATTTGGGTAACGGAACGGAAATGGTAATCATGAAGGGGAATTAAGGAAATGTGTATTGGTACTTTTTTTTGTTGGGGTGGGGGGACTAATTAATGACTTAATTAATTTTAATTAATTGGGAGGCAATAAGGGGGAAATCCGTGCGTGAATTAAGGGTGGGATTTTAGATTATCGTGGGTGTGAATGAAAAGGGGAAGAGAAGAAAATATATGGGCTTTGGGTTTTGGATTTTGTTAATAAAAGCACGTGGTAGGATGTATGGGAATGTCCTAAAAGACTTTTACAGCTGTGAGAGATTGAAGGCCGACTTGGTCATGGGATGGAGACAACAGCTGGCTCGGACGGAGAAGAGTGGTCACGGTTCAAACTATGTATCTAATATACATTATACTATTAATTGCTCCGTGTGACTCTTTCTTTAATTGGCTCAACTATGGTGTGAATGCCCTCGTCACGTATGGATTGGGGATGACTCAAATGTGATGTCAACCAACTCAATTTGCAAAATCTTACTAGTAAAGACTCGCATTGGGTTTTCTAGGAAATTTATACTAGTGGTTTCTAGGAAATTTATACTAATGATTTACAAATAAACCTCTAAATCTCTAGGTCTAATTGGAAAAACTCACATTGATTTTACTTTTTTTTTCAAAGGATAGCCACTAATCATAATCGACCACAACATAGTGTGGTCGTAACTCAACAAATTACACGGGGTGACTACACAAACAACTCATGAGATGAAAATTGGGATCTAATTAGAATTTATTTATATTGACTGAGACTCGATTAGAGTTTCTAATTCTTGATGTCTGAACCTTGATTGTTAGATTAACGGTCTGTCTAACGAATTTTTTATATGATAGGTTAAGTGAATGTTAAGTATATTAAGGAGTGCATTAAAGGCATCCGTTAGAAAAACTCTTAAATTAAAACCTTATGAAATAACATTTTTTTTTTCTTTTCGAAGAAAGTAGAAACTATCCTTGTAAAGTTCAAAGTCTCACTTTACTAAATTGACTTTGATCAACAACTCTACATTCAAAATCCTTGTGTTTATTGGACTTTGTACGAAACTCCCTAGTAATTTACTAATATATATATGATAAACTCGCAACACAACCGTGGAAAATTATGATATTGTTTGAATAAATAAATGCCTAGGTAGGAAACGTATAGAAAACTCTCCCCTCAATGTCCATTATCAGTAAATATATATATTTTTAAAATATATGTGAACATGCGAGGCATGTTCACAAGCATTACCAAAAGTTGAAAATATATGACAATTTCTCTTGAAATAGGAAATGCTAGTTTAAGACCACTTTCCATGTTTTGTCATTAAAACGGAGATTTGTGTTAACTGTTAAGATGGATTATTATGTATCATTTATCTTTGTGTAAAAATCCTATGCCTGTGTCATATTGTTGCATTTTTACCGCGATTGAATCGGGCAAGCTTATAACCGTGTGGACTAGAAATCCTTATATCATTGAACCATTTAGGAGAAGTAAATTGTACTCTATTCTTTTTTTTTTTTTAAAAAAAAATGTCAACCAATTATCTACTAAAAATGCAAAGAAAATTGACTGTAATTGTCAAGAGAGTCCTGCGTACGATGTTCCAGAATTAATTTGAAAATTTTGGATATAGGTAGACTTTATTCTATGTTTTTTTGGGATGTAGACTTCCATGCTGAACAATTTATTCAATTCTTTTCTTTTAATTTTTGTTTTGTTTTGGTGGTAAGTAGGATTGGACGAGTCAAAGAAGGCAATTCTTTAATTCTTTCGGATAAGGTGAAGCATTTCATACGTTACAAAATACCTACGAATTACGGAGTATTATTTAATAGCAACTTATTCGATGCATAGCAAGCACGAGTTTGAATATCTGACGAGATCAAAATTTCATCCTTTTGATTTAGCCGTACAAAAACTTGACATTCACGAGGGTCTGTTTGTTTCGATGGAAAACTTTTTCGAAAAAATGTTTTCCTTTTTTTCTCCTATGTTTGCCTTCAAAGAGCATCCAGAAAATTTTTTTTCCAGGGAAAAGGCTTTACCCGATCAAATGGAAAACAACTAACTCAACACTGTTTACTCTTCCAAAACAAAACCCTTGCCTCTGTAACTAGTTTTTCTCCTACACAGTCTCTCTAGCAACTAATCTACCATTTCTTTTTCTTTTTTTTTTTTTAACCAACATTTATATAATCTATTCTAGTCTAGTTTTGGAGGAGGGGAAGGGAGTTTTTAACTGACGAGGAATCTACCATTTCTGGTTGAATCTACTTTTACTCTCTCGCTCTCACACACATATTTATGATTTCTCGTTGAGTCCATTTTTTCTCTCTCACTCTCACATACAAATTTATGATTCCTTTTCATCTCTTTTTCTAACGTACATTGATGGATATTTTTAAACAAATGTAGCGCTTTATAGATTGGTGGATGTATTTCCAAAAGAGAATAATTTTGTTAGGTCCATTTATAGCATATTGTTGGGCACATCATCTTATTCAATTATTCATAGAATTTTCTTCTATGAATGCTTAAGAAAGTATTTTTTTTAATCGTCTTTGACTTTCAAATGGAGTGTGGTGTGGTGTTTAAGGTGAATTGTCTGTAGGAGTGACAGGGAGGTAGTAGTAATTATATTGGAATGCTGATGGTTTAAGGAAAATATTTTTAAAAAAGTGAACCAAACATGAGAAAAAAAAAATGAAAAAATCAAATATTTTCAGAAAAATGATTTTCAGTGAAAATTTTTTTTCTTGGGAAAATTATTTGACAGGCAAATAAACGGACCCTCAGGCTTGTAGATTTTCACAATTGCACATGATAATGGGGAAACATTCGAGATCGTGTTGGACCCAAAGCCTTGGAAGACTTTTTCTTTCTTCCTTGGAACTAAGAGGGAAACCGGTTAATTTGAAGCCTAATCTCTTTCTTCAACGCAGTAGTGTGGATCTTTTCCTATGTCTGTTTGTTTGTCTAAGAGACAGAGACCCATTGGTATATATTTTTATCATCTAAGGTGCATACTACCATGTGTATCTTCTAAAACACTGAACTCCCATTAAATCTATTATACTTTCACGTCAGAAATATAGTAGAAATACAAAAACGAGAAATATTAACTAAAAGGTTTTTTTGGGTATTAACTAAAAAGTTTTCTCGAGGAGAGGGATTGGATTAGGTAATAAAATGGAAGAAGTTGTAAGTAGGACATTTTAAATTCAAGACATCTCATTTGCCAAAAAAAAAAAAAAAACTGAGAAGATTTTTTTGTTAACGTTTTTAACATACCTAAATCACAATCAACAATTTAATACCAGTAGTACATAACATCTTTCCAAGTGTTCGTTGAATATCCATTAGACTTAAACGAACCCTAACTAGCAAAACGATCCTTATCAGCTATAGCAGCATACTAGTAGTATTATAATTACGAGGAATGTTAACTAAAATGATCCTTATATCGTTTTAAGCGCAAAGGGAACTCTAAGCTTGACTAAAATTAAGCTACGCGCTACTTAACTTTACTAATTAAGAAACTAATCCAAAACTAACTCAAAGACACCGACCTAAACGACAAAATAAAGAGGAACAAGAAAAACTTATAATGGTAGATTAAAAAGAAAGGAAAAACATGGCAGAATGAAAAGCCAATAAGTTCCTTGCTTCCACGGTAGAAAAAGAAAAGGTCTCACAACGCACAGTCACAGGATGCCTACCCACTCCAAAATTGTTTGAAGAAAATGTTGCCCAATTCATTCACGAACTGAGCCACGTGTTTTTACTTTTCCACGGCCAATCACAAACGTGGCGTGTCCGCGTCGTTCTTCAAGTTTTCAACCAACGACCAAAATAGACCGAGTATACAACAATCACAGAATACAATTTTCTTTTCCCTTTTCTTTTTTCTTTTTCTTTTTTTTTTTGGCCCCCGTCCTTAGATTGACTGTTGAATCCTTATCGGTTGCCGGCGTACATTTGTTGGCTGACCGAACAGCAGTCACCAAACAACCTAACTACTAAAGCATAAAAATACAACCTTACTCAGCGCAAGTTAGGAGTTCAAACTACTGTGCCTATAATTCGATTTTGTGGAGAGGCCACCGCCTTTCTTTCAAGTGGTACTATAAATTTATGTTTTTCTCTCTCAAAATTTTGGAAAGTTTTCAACAATGTTCTGCATAAGTAATACCTTTGGCCCCTTAAAAATT